ATGACTTGGACATGGGACTGGAAGGGATACTAGGCAAGTTTGCAGATGACACAAAACTCAGAGGACCTTTTGATTCCCTTGAAGGCAGGGAGGCCCTGTAGAGAGACCTCAAAAAATTAGAGGATTGGGCAATCACCTATCATGTGAAGTTCAAGAATGGAAAGTGATGGATTCTGCACCTGGAATGAGACAACCCTGGACGCACATACAGATTGGGTAATGAGATGCTGGAAAGCAGTGCCACAGAAAGGGACCTGGGAGTCCTGGTCGATGGCACGTTGAATCTGAGTCAGCAGTGCCCTGGCAACCAGGAGGGCCAACTGTGTCCTGGGGGGCAAAGCATCGCCAGCTGGTTGAGGGAGGAGATTGTCCGGTTCTGCTCTGCAGTGATGCGGCCTCACCTTGAATGTTGTGTGCAGTTTTGGGCATACAGTAAAAGAAAGATATTAGACTGCTGGAGAGTGTCCAAAGGAGGGCAATGAAGATGGTGAAGAGCCTTGAGGGGAAACTGTATGAGGAGCAGCTGAGGTCACTTGGTCTGTTCAGCCTGGAGGAGACTGATGGGAGACCTCATTGCAGTCTACAACTTCCTCATAAGGTGAAGAGGAGGGTTAGGCATTGATCTCTTTTTTGTGGTGACCAGTGACAGGATCCAAGGAAGTGGCCCAAAGTTGTGTCAGGGGAGGTTTAGATTGGATGTTAGAAAAAAGTTCTTCCCCCAGAGGGTGGCTGGGTGCTGGAACAGTCTCCCCAGGGAAGTGGTCACAGCACCAAGCCTGACAAAGTTCAAGAAGCATTTGGACAATACTCTCAGGTACATGGTGTGACTCTAGGGGATGGTCCTGTGCAGAGCTAGGAGCTGGACTCAATGATCTTTGTGGGTCCCAACTCAGGACATTCTGTGATTCTGTGTAAGAAGGTGTTGGAAACCTAAGCCTTCTCCTTGCCTGTTAATATTCATTTACCAGCCTTGCTAATCAATGCTCATCAAAGAGCATTGTTTGACCTTTGTTTTCTAGCAGACATACCTGTAGAAGCCTTTGTTATTCTATGTGTCCCTTTCCAAGTTCAGTGCCATCTAAGTCCTGGTCTCCCTCACCCCATCCCTACACAACAGGGCAGCATCCCTGTGCTCTTCCCAGGCTATCTGTCCCTGCTTCCAGTGCCTGTGCATTTCCTTCTTGCCCTTTAGATTGTCCAGCAGGTCTTGCTTGACTCAGCTATGTTGATCTCTTGCTTTACTTGCCTGATTTCTTATGTCCAGGTATTGGCAGCTCTTGTGCTCTACAAAAAGTGTCCTTAAAGATCTGCCAGCTCTGTTCTGCCACCTTGCCCCTGAGGGCTGTCTCCCAGGTGGTCCTGTTGACTAATGCTTTGAATAGCTGGAATTTTACTTTCCCAAAATTCAATGTCCTGACTTTACTCTTTAGCAGACCCATATCCCTCAGGACTGCAAACTTCACTAACGCATGATCACCACAGTCCAGACTGCCTCTAATCTTGATGTCTCCAATTAGCTCACTTACAGCAGTGATCAACAGGTTCACTATTGCATCCCCTTTGGTTAGGGTTGTCTATTACCTGTCTTCAGAAGTTACCCTCAATGCAATCCATGAGTCTCCTGGATTGCCTACAGCTTACTGCACTACAGAAGTGTTAAATGTTCCTCACTCTGGACAAAATCATTCTGGAAATCTCACAATTTTGCCTGCAATGTTAACTTTCAGACAGATCATCTGTGAAACTTGCAAATCACTTTGCCTTTTGCATTCTCTCATAATGCTGTTTTTCTGATGGCTGAGAAACCCATCTTCATCAGCTCTGTATCTGAAAAAAGATTACTTTTTAACAAAACAACACTCATTTTCTCACTCTAAAATTCTTTTTCACTATTGCCAGATTTCTTTCTAGGTTTCATGAAAAAAAAAAAAATTGAGTCATCTAAGTTGTGAAATTACCTTCCTGTCTCAAAATTTGTAATAGATCATTTACCCCCGAAACGTTCCCAGGGCATTCATGACTCACAGAGGTATTCGTTGGGTCTGAAACCTTTGTGAGTGTCTCAAAAGAAGTTCTTGCTTTATCTGCAAGTGCTTAGTTTCATGTGGTGATATCAAAATGCTGAAACCAAACTACTGAAAGATTTTTCTCCTGACCCTTTAATGAGTTAATTAGCTAAATATGGAAATGGGTAGCTGCCTTCAGTTGACTGAGGTTTTCTGTAGTCAGCATAATCATTTACTTACCATTAGATTTATTATTTTTTCCAAATTGTGATTAAGATGTTCAAATAGTACTTATATGTTTATCTAAACCAGCTTTCAGAATGTGATTAATTGCCTTTTTACCATTATCTTTTGTAGTAAAAAGCTATTCCATGGAAACACTCTAGGACCACTTTCCAGCCTTACATCCAGCAATAATTTTCTGAGTCTTATTTTTGGGGAACACCACAGTAATCAAGGGCTAAATCAACTGCTCTGATGTTTGCCTTTTGCTACACATAGGTAATTTTCTCTAATACTGCCTTCAAATACCTGACATATGAGAATCTTAAAGGCATTTATAATATTGGACACTATTCTATGATCCTATTTCTAATTACTTATTTGGCCTCTGCATTTGTAATGGTGGCTCTTATCCAGAATTCTAGTATTAGTCTAGGTTGAAACAAAAGTCCAAAATAGAATTTCTGTCTTCTAACAGTTTGGAAAGTTCATTTTGACTGTGCCTTTCCTAGACATTATGCTTAGCTGAAAGAAGAGTAATTCGTTACATTCACATAGTAGCTATAGGAGGTATCATTATCACTGCAAGAATTTAAATTTCTTCATACCCATTCATTCACAGTATCTGAATATTTTTCAAAATTGTCTATTTTCTTATCATAACACAGATTTTCAAAATATTTTTAAATGAAATTCTCTCTCAACATAACATAAAAAATGTAATTTAGCATAAGAAATAGCCATTAATATGCAAAATCCCAGATTCTGCATGAGATGGATTTTTTCTATTGTCTATACTACCTGGGTGATGATGAGCAGTAGCCTATATAATTTCTCCAGTTTATGGTTTCTTCTTGTCAGCACAGTTTACTATTTATAGAGCAAAGTTTGTTCGCAACATGAGTTCAGTGCCACTAGGCTTTTCCAGTGAAAGTGTCCTCAAGAATGTAAATGATACCAAGAATTTCTCTTAATTATCAATTGTATTAGTAACTTCTAATTTCTTTCTGGCTTATGGCTTCCATATGACTGAGAAATTGGCTCTTCAGCAGCCTTTGCCTCCACTTCATTTGCAAATGCCATCTGACTTAGACTAGTTTAGGCACTGGAAGTGGTCTAGCCACAGCAGTGTAGAACTCCACAGGCTAATTTCTTTTTATTTCCTTCTCACTGAGAAACTTGTTTACAGCTAGTTGGTGTATGCCTTTATTGTGTCTCATCATAAAAATACTATTTGGCCTATTCCTTTAAAAATCTATTAGAACAAAAGGCAGTGACACTAAGGACTGTGGAATTAGTGCTACCATGAATTAGGGAATAAAACTGAAAATATAACTTTGAGAATACTACTGTTTATCTTATTCTAGTAAATTTAGACAGGTAAGTTCCTTGTAAGAAGAAAACAATTCCCAGTGTCTCTCTGTTGTTTACATATCATGTGTGGCTTGCCTGGAAGGGACAGAATGAAATGCAAGTGCTTCTTTTATTTACTTTATCTTAGGGAAAAACAGAGACCTGATTAAAGAGGAGTAGGAGAAGGAAGGTCTCCCTGGGCTCTGTTCTGCAACATAACATCTCAGTGGTTGTTGGAATCACAAGCTCTTTCAGTCTTTCCCACTGTTAGTTATAAATCTTCTTCTTTGGACCCAGGAGCCTGGTTTAAAATCCAAGGAGCTTAGAAATGTTACCTTAATGCTATTCCCTCAACCGTGCTGCAAGGAAAATGAACTTGCTTACCCTGTTTATTGCAAGCCATATTCTGAAGCCTTCATTTACCTCTGGCAGTCATGTAATTGAGCCAATTTCTGTGATTGTCCATTATTTAGCCCTACATTCAGAGCTGGTGAGAGAGACAGCATTTAAAATATATCAGATGCTCAATAGCCATAAAATGCTCCATTAAAAAAAATAAATCCTAGTCCATGCTAAAAGTTTTGATGTTGAGTCTAGCATTTGTATTTCAGACTGATTGAAGCACATGGAAAATGCAATACAGTGCAAGTTATCTCTATTTCACATAGAAAGCACTTGCTTTTTATAATGAAAATAATAGTGTAGAGGAGCATGCTAATTTTATCCTGTTGTAATCATGTTATATACGTAGTAGGAAGAATGTTTGTGCAATGCAATGGCTGTATATTCATGTTTAAATATATTGCAACTTGAAGTATCCATGGATGCCATAGATCCTGCCCCAGGAACTGTAGTCTCATCTGTAGCTGCACAGAACCTTAGCTTTATGCACCATCATTTTTCTAATTGCCAACAAGAGGGATTAAAAAAAAGAAGCAGATTGCCTACTGAGAGATTCATACTTTCTTGATATCTTGGCTAATAGGTGGTTCTAATTCAATTGAATGTTGTAAAATACTTAATCTCAAATAGATTTTTACTAGAACAATAGTACAAAAATCTATGTCTTTCTCAGAAATTGTCTTCATGGATACCCTGGATTGTTTTTGGAAAAATATTTTGTTCTGCTGTGGTGGTTCAAAACCAGTAGGGAATTTAACTCCAAACACACTGCTCCCCTTCCTCGCACTCCCTCCAGTCAGAGAGAGACAAAGGTGGAGACTATGGGTTGAGATAACAATTTATTGAAAACAAACAGCAGTGGAATAAGAAACGCACGGTAGCAGGAGAAATATTCATAACAAAAGTTTATGAAAGAGAAGGTGATTTACACCACCTTGACTCAGTTCCGTGTGGCTGCCTAGTCAAAGCGAGATGGAGGACATTCCACAGCCAGCAGTGACATGCAGTTGTTCCCGAGACAAAGACAAGATGGCAGATACTCTTTGCAGGTGGCGTTCGCCATCCCCAAGCCTGAGACAACAAAAACCGATGACAAACAAACCCCCCAAAAGCTGGATCATCTGCATTGAGCTGCACTGCCCTGCTCTGCTTGGGTTTGATCCCATGCTGCGCCACCCAGTTCTGCTCAGGTTTAACTTTGTTCTACACCGCCATCTCCCCTCAGCTGTGTTCACTGCTTCCGAGTCACATCTGCAATTTATCTGTGTTGGCTGTCTGCTCCATTCCTGGACTGCACTGCTCAGCTTAGTCTTGGCTCAGCTCGACAGTATTCAATGACATCAGCTAGATATCTTTGAGGATTCTTGGATATAGGTTTGTAAGTATCCAGCTGAAGCAGCAGATCCTGCATGATTTCAGGGTTGAAAGGGAGTTGATCGTTCTTACAGTACAGTCGTCCAGCTCAGGGCACTGAGACTCAACAGTAATTGGCTGGGCTTGGCTGGGCTCAGCTCACTGCCGCTTCACTTCCCACAGCTGCTTCCAGCACCAGTGCCGTGGCACACACACTCTGCTGGGCTCAACCGTGTCCACTGCTTGGAGTTGTGTTCTTCCCTAGAGATGGGAATGGACAGGCAGCAGCGGGAGACGGACAGAGGCCTCATCCGTGGCTTCCAGCTACTTTCCCAAGGAAGGAATGGAACAAAATGGTGCACTTCCAGTGTACGTTCACCTTTTTCTTCCCTTCAAAACCATGCTCCTTATGACAATGTGGGTGGTATAGAACAGAACCTAGCCATGCCCGTATATCTCTAGGCTCCTCCTCCATGCAACAAGGGCATCTGTTTAATTTGCTAAAGAAACTAATAAGTTTCTAATATCCTGAAATTTAACTTTCAATCAAAGAATATGTAGAACTTTTTTTTAGTATGATCTTTTTAACTTGGAAATCACCAGGGTACAAATGGTAGCAAACCTACTAAGACAGAAAAATTTATTTCTCATTTTGTCCTTCAAAAATCTGGAATCTAGTTTGTCTGCAGTACAGATGTCAGGAAACATTCTATTTTCTCAAGTCCCTCCCTAATCCAAGGTGAAAAATTGATAGGAAACCCCAAGCAGTCATACTAAAAGACAGAAAGATACTAACATTATAGTCTCCATTTTTAACCTCCATGTTCATACAGATTCTATTGTTAGGATAAGAAAATGATAACACTGGTCTTTCAATAATGATCAGGTAACAAGTTCTAGTCTGATGTTCATAACTACTGATAACTAGCAGTATACTTTATTCCTTTTTATCCTTTAATTTTTTTTTCTTATTTTTTGCACATAATAAGAATGTGCATGTTTCAGAAAAGTTTAATTTTAGTTTAATGAACTAAGCCAGAACACCTGACTCATCAGTGACTGTAATTATTGGTTTCTGCAATAATAGGGTCAAAATACAAGATGTCACTGAACCAAGTTTCTTGTTCATTCATTGTAGCCATCAGCTTAGTAATGATAATAATAATAGTAAAGGCTGATTGAGGGTAGTTCATTAGGTAGCTATGGCTTCAGAATCAGCATCGGAATGTGAATCTTGTGCTCATGAAAGCTCTTATATAAAGGTACTATAAACTAGTGGCTGTATACACAACAAATTACCATGAAGAACCACATAACCATGAAGCGGAATGATTGTTTTTTGACTCTCATGCTTCTATACCAAATGAAGATAACTTGTTGCAATGTGTGAAATAACATTTGTGGCTCATCACCAGTCCTGTTCATGAGTACAATACTTAAATCCCACTGAAATGGTTTTCTTTCAGAGGATAAAATCTATCAACAGTAAAAGACCAGAGACTAAATTTTCTAGTATCTTGCTCTTTTATGCAGTATTTTCAATGCATATAGACATTCATGAGTCAGAATGATTTAGCCATTCAGACTGACAGCAGTTTATGTGCTATTTCCAAAGAAGTAGATGATTGTAACAAGGTGCAAAGCTTCAAAGTACCTTGCCCAGGTGTATTATTTCTATCTCTTTTTCACTATATCCACTCATACATGTCAGGTATTTCAGTGGTTAGAAAGTTCCATTTCAGGTGTCTGAAAATCCCATGACGTGTTGTGTGAAATTTTCATGAGTTAGAGCTGTGTGGGTAGTTTGTTGCCTAGCAAGAAACTTATACAATTGCAATCTATGTCACTAATAAGATGTTATTATAATAAGCTCAAAAATATTAATTAATCCTATTTTCATCACATTTTTATTTTGCTATATTGTCTCAGTAATAGAACACAAAGGTAGAACCATTACTTATTTTTAAGCAAGATTTATGAAATATATATGCAGTAGAGAAACTAGGGGTTTTTTAGGAGAAAAATTCATAAACAAGTCAAATTCCTCCTAATTTATTATTTACAACTACTAAATGTTTAGTTACTTTAAAAAAATAGAAGGAAAAAATTAAATCCATCTTGAATATATGAGATACTGTTGCATTTAAACAGAGGAAGACATAGACAATGGTAACAGAGAAAGAGAACACTGACACTGAGATTTAAAAGTATATTTAGAAATTACATATAGTAATAAACCAAAGAAATTTGATATTTTTCATTTTTTTCTCAATTTCAATATTAGTCATGTGTGGAAAAAATTTCTTCTGCATATGCATGATAATTTTTTCTCAAGGTTAAAATCCATTTCTGGGTACTTCTATGGTGGAAATAAAAACATCTGAATGGGGAGGGAGGTGACCAAAGAAATATGTAAACCTTCAATTTCCTCCTGATTTGAACTGCAACTCATGATAGCAGTCAGGAGTATTCTCATTCATAGAATGAGAATGTCAGTGAAGACTGAGAGTAATGTAGGAAAACTAAATTAAAATGAAAAAAGTGTATCTAATTTTATCTTTGTTACATAACACATGAAATCCAGCAGCCTGATGACTCTATCTGAAAAATTCGGAGTATAGACTACTAACCAATATTGTCCATTCTACATACATTTCTGGAGAACACAACACAAATCCCAAGACATTTCTAATGTCAGCTGAAGATGAAACAGAGTAACTTCTCTTAAGTGCAGCATCCAAACTAATTCTTTTTGTGTCATTTGCAGAAGGAAAATGTATCAGTTCTACAATTGGAAAAGGTCTTACCATATTATGATGGAACTATGAAAAGCTATTTTAAACTCAAGACATTCTTTTTCAGGACTGCAGAAGTCAGACTCAAGTTTTTCCAAAAACTTGGTAGGTGAGTACATATGCAATTAAGTAAAGATAAATTTATAAGAGAGAAAAAAACCTTGATAATTTTACAACCTCACAAAGGTGTTATTTGTGAGTTTCCTATATATATAAAAAATCCTATAAAGACAGACTTCATTATGTATTAGATGTTTTCAAGTAGATTTTAACTTTTTTCTGCTGCATGAAAGTTCTATCTTTTGTATCCTATAGCAAGTGAATAATTGCTCATTAATAACAGACTAGAAGAACAAAATGTAATTGAGAAGTCCTCTTGTTATGCAATGTCTAAAAATTATATTTAACATAGAAATTGTTCTGCTGGCAGCTAAAAAGAGACATTATCTCTAGATGCCTGAAAGCTCTAATCATGAGAGGAAACCAGCTGAGTACTGTGTAAGCAGGAAAAAAAGATGGACCCTGACAATAAAACTTCAAACATAAATTTAAGGCGAAAAGCAGAAAAAAAACCAATTGAAAGACAGGAAGTCTTCAGAATAAAAAAAAAAAAAAAAAAAAAGAGAGAGAGACATTAAATGTTCTTGTGAAGAAATCTTGAAGAGGTCTCGATACAGCAGAAATATGTTTTGCCTACAGTTAGTCACAGGAGTATATCCTTTCTATCAAAAGATGTGAACCAAAAAGAGCAGGTGGTCCGTATTAAGGAAAGCTTCATATAAGTAGACCTAAATCTTCCTTGAATATACTAGTTAGAGGCATAAGTAATAGATTTGATTCAAAAGACTGATACATAAGCAGTTACAACATATATATGGGCTAAAGAAGTTATAATTAACATTGACTTTTCTTTAAGCTTTCATTATTTTAGCGTACCATAAGCTAAATTAGTAGAAAACTTATTTGTGTGACTGAAATATCATAGTAACACCATTGCAATTTACTGATGTTAAGTTTTAATGGTAACAACATAAACCTTGTGAATCACCAATGGACATGATTGAAAATAAGCTTAAAAACAAGAGAGGTACAAGGCTAAATAATTTGAAATTATTCTGCTTTTAACAAGAATGAGGCCAAGAGAACATTCAAATAACAAAGCATAAATTAAGACTTTCCTTATAACAAGAACCTAAACTCTCATTATTTTCATTTTGAGATTCTCATCAGCCTCACTGTGAAAAGAAAGCCTTGGAAAGCATCTGTAAATGACCCACCCTGTGTTTTTTTGCATGTACAAAAGTACCAGTACAGAATGCTCATAATGGTAATTTGTGCTTTTTTGGTTTTTGTCCTTTTTTTTTTTTTTTTTCAATTTATCAATATTTTATTTCTGTTTGTAACAAACAATGATATTGAGATCTTCTAAAAAGGATGTTCTGAGACTGTCATGGCTCAGATTTCTCAACCTAATTTCAGAATTTATTATATATATTAGAGCTTCTTTCCCATACTGAAATCTAAATTGGAAGTTCAACTAATATAGATAAATTTTAAGAAATTATTCAATTAACAGTATAGACTGAAAACTGAAAATGAACAATTAACTTGAAGGCGGATAATACAGTATTTCAAGAGTTATGGAAAGTTCATGTCTGAAACAACTTTCAGAAGCAAATTAAGCACAATGGTGAAAACTTTGCTAGCAAGTGATGAAGGCTACAATTACAGTTTGTAACTCATATAATTATTTAAGCCACGTATGGTTCATTTATTTGATTTTGGGGCAGAAACTGTATTAAGTTCTGATCTGGGGACCCTGTTATTGTAATGTTGTTTGTAAAATGCAGGTATTCATCTCAAGAATGCCAAGGCAGTGGAAGGATTAAAAATAAGGTTTATTTCAGGTGCAAGGACCACTTTTTTACGATAGTGCATGCACCGGGCCCCAAGGGGCAAAAGGCAAAGCCACTCATCCTCCAAGCCTTTTTTTATCTTCTCTCTCTCCTTCCCCACTCTCTCTGGCCCAAGGAGGCCTTGAACATGTCTACAAATGGTTATCTCTCTGGGAACTAGAGAGCAAGGCTGAGAACTTCTCTTTCTATGCGGGGTGGGGGGAGGAAAGCTTTGAACCACCTCTGAGAAAGATCCATCACCTTAGGCAGAAAACCTTCCTAGGGAATTGAGTTCTTACTTCCTGTTACAAATTCTTCTGGAATTGTATCTATTTCTGCATGTTGAATGCTAGATACTGCAGTTGTCAACGAGATGCTAATTGGGTTATTTTTTGGCTCATATAAATCTTAACCATATGTGAACATAATAGGGAAAGTGGGTAGGCTTCACACAGGAAAAGTTTGGCATTTCATATACCTCCTATATACACACAATGAATTTGGCCATATGAAAATTCAACACAGAAGAAACCATGGGTTTTGCATTTTACAACACAAAATCTGTTTCTGCTAAGATATTTCCAATTAAAAAGATAATCCTTAAGACTCATGCATCTACGACACATAAAACTGATTGCAATTAAGAAGAGATACAGGCAGGTAAGTTCTCAAAAAAAAAAGTTAAAAAATACAAATAAGCACATCTGTTCTCCTTCACTGGTATAATAATCTTAATTTATAGGGTTTTCTTTTTAAAGAGATAATTCCTTCGTCAATTCTAGACATTTTTTCTAGACAGAGTTGCTATCAACAGAAGGGAAAGAAGTAGAGGAGGAAAGCGGGTTTAATTAGCATTGTCTAGATTTTGTGTAGTAGTCTCCATTGAGAAGGTTTGTCTATGCTACAACTACTTTAGGCCAGAACTTCTAATGATATAACTATTTTCAGTTTTCTTTTACTTATTCCTTATTATATGATGCATTCAAGTAAAATTACAAATTAATGTACATAACAGTGGAACATACTGACTGTTTTTTCTAGGCTCATTCCAGACCCGGTTTTAAATATTATGATTGCCAAGATTCATTAGCAATAATGATATCAAATTTGGATAACCATATTTCTACTTCATATTGTCATAACTGTAGAAATGTTAAATTTTATATAATGAAGACTTTTTGTAGAGGTTCACATTTTTACTATGGATGTAAATTTCTCTCTTATCTCCCAGATACGATTTATTTCACCTAACACTTGCCGTGTAATGCATAGATATCCACACTGGATGTATTTATTGAGGTCATTTTTGTAATCGTCACAGAGAAACAGATTTCTGTATTGCAATTCATTCCATCGTGAGAGAAAATAAGTACCTGTTTCACTTCATTAAAGGTCTTGACGTAGCTACCAGAGATGTGGAATATGTAAAAATGGTATGAATTCTACATATATATTTTATGTGGACATGCCCAGGCTAGAGCAGAAGATTGAACTTACTGTATTTCTTACAGCATGTGCAGCGCATCTGAGATCCTGAGTAGATTGCTGACAGCTATACTGAAAATTTTATTTTTTCTCTGACAGAAAAGTGAAATTATATTTGCTTCATATATTTGGTATCAGGGAAAATAATTTAGATATTCCGATAATATTTTAAAACTTTTCAATAAATACCAGTTTTGCATCCCAAAATTAGGAGTATTTTCTTGGTGGTAGTGACCCTAAGAATTTTTATGTTTGGGTAAGAATAAGGGACCTGGTTCCATGAAGACAAATACATATATTGCTATATGTCAACTTTTAATAGCCTTATTTGATGGACACTATTTATAGCACCTGATAATAAACAGCATAAATAAACAGTAAATATTTCCAAACAGAAGAGAATGATGAGGAAAAATAAAATGTTTATAAAATGTTTTAAGTCAGATTGAATAACATTCTTGCAGGCCTGAGTGCATTTCCATCATGATATTTATTTATTTGAACATTAATGCATAAATATATAAGGCTAAAAAGCTTTAGGCATCCTGAGTATGCTTAAACAAACCAAAACAAACAGTATAGCTTACACTAAGTTTAATATTTGAGGTGAAAGTGTTGTGAAGTATAGAAATCAAATCTCCTTGCTTGGGGCAATGCAGATCTCTTTTCCATTGGCTTATATGGGCAGCAGTTGGAATCTAGCTTAGAGTGAGGAATATACCTTAGAAAGTCATCTTTAAACTTATTTTATGAAATACTGTCAGTTTTCTCCTTTAAAGATTACTGATGAAGTATTATTTTCCATTATGATGAAACACGATACTTGTCTGTATTTTGACTTTTCCAATTTTATTGCATAGATACAGAATGATCCATTTACTGTACATTTATATAAAATTTAGTCCCGTTCTGAAAATAAAGAACAAAGGCTGAGAAAATGTGCAACTGCTCACTGTAATTTTTTCAATTTATATTTTTTCTCTTTTACGGTGACAAGTCAATATGCAGAAATAGGACTGATATAGCATATATATTTTTTACTACTCCTACTGCATACAATAGTCTAATAAAAGTATTTATTCCAAACTTTGGCCATGGAAGTGCACATATCTATGAAAAAAATAAGAAAATCTAGAATATGATTGTATCACTTGGTATTTTTGTTCCAAAAACATACTTCTAATAGACCAACATTTCCTGGGAGCTACTTTTCCTTTCTCTGCTTCCTCTTGCTATGATGAATGTGTTCAGCTAGCCTGTCACCTATTTACTTATGCACTGCCTCTTTGTAAGAGAACTCTGATGCTGTTTCAGTGAGCAGGCTTGAAAATAATTAATTACAAACATCAGAACAGATGAAGTAAAACATCTAATTAAGTGTCTGAAATATCAAAGAATAAGTGTCTGGCTGTCCTAGGAGGTTGTTTCAGAGGTTAATAATCAACTAAGCAGTGCCAGGGATGGTTCTTCAACACTAAAGCCAACTGACTTTGGATGGACATGCCAAACTTTTGAAATCTTTTATTGCTTCCAAGACAGACAAGAAGGCAGAGAGGTGGAATAGTCACATCCCTTTCTGTGCACACAAAACAACCATTTGGTGAATAATTTGGGAGAGGATGAAGCGGCCTAGGCCAAAAGGATACCAGGCACAGACCTAACACATAAATGGTAGAGAGATGATCAACTATGTCTGCATCACAAGTCAAACTAAAGAGCTGCTGATAGGTAAAATATAAGGAGATATTGTATCTAAACAGGTTGCTTGGTTTTGTGTTTACAGAATCCAAAACTCTTATGTTGGAGCAAAGTAGTGGTGTTGTCCACCTTGCTGCAGTGCAGCACAGTGTAAATAAAATAGAATATTTTATTTAATAATATAAATATTTTTGTATCATTTATATATATATTTGTAATATTAATACAAATATAAAAGTAAAATAAATTATTTATGAGCTCAGTGACAGAAAGCATAAACAAGAGAAAAGAAAATTTGGTAGCTGTCCTAAAATATTAGACCTGGATATTGATGGAGTTTTTTTCTTTTGGTTTTTCGTTTTTAGTTTTGGGGTTTCTTTTTACATATCAGTTTTCTATTAAAAAAAAAGCCATTTAGATGAAATTTCAGCATCTACAAAAATGTGCCAGTTTTATCAAAACTTTTCTGACAGAACTTCAGTGTGGAAAGAGTGTAAATATTTTGTACTGGGAAAATGAAACATTTTGATAGTGATGTTTTGGTTTTCTCTTTACTGTGAAAGGAAAATAATAAGAGAAGAAATATATATGCACTTGACATAAAAGGGAAGAATGACTGAGCAAATATGCAATTTTTTTTTGCATTTGGGGAAAAATAAGGAAATTATGGGAGAAACTAAAAAAGAAAGGAATAAGTTATAAAAGAAAGATGTGATAAGAGTGCAAAATAGAGGACATGAGCATTCATGCTCAAAGACTATTTTAGGTCTTATCTGTAAGGGGACATCAATCAGATTTTCCCATGTGTATGAAAATGCATATGTAAAAAGTCATTATAGATTTTTTTTTATATTTTCTGGGTTGAATTTTCAGTGCAGCCAAATGTCAAAATGTTTGGGCATTATTGGTACTCATCTGAATGTATTTTAATGCTAAACTACAAATGCCTAAGTGAAAATTTAGTTTTACTTAGATCTCCTTGGCAGGAACTGAACATATATGCTCCTAAAGCTCTGTAAATTGCTGTTTGTATTTACTAAACTTGAAAATTTGTGCTATTGAATTTTTTATAAAATTCACTGTTTTTAACTGCAAATTTAACAATTTAAGTGATTTTTCCTTTTGGTGGCACCTTGCTGATTTTCAAACAAATAGGTATATGCTGGTTTCTACTCTCTGCAGGTGTGTTTTACATCTCACTATTCAAATCAGACATCACAGCAAACAGAAGCCATTCTATGGAGAGGCAGCTAATGACTAGTTATATAAATCCTACTTTTGAGGAATATCATTAGAAAGCACACTTCCATGCTACCCTTTTGTAGAGAACACACAGAATGTTGAAACCATTCTTTTAATTCCATTGGTCATCTGTTGAAGTCCTCACACTTCTTTCAAGATGGAAAATTTCTCATCTTTATGATGTTCATTCCCTTTAGAACATGGCTACACGAATATCACACTTACTGAGAAGTTAGAGAAGCAAAAGGAATGGGTAAGAAATAACTGGGTATGTTCATCAACAAAAACTTTGACAAGCACAATACTTGTGGTATTAAGTGTAATCTAAATAAATATATGTATATTGCAATATAATTATGATATAAAATATTTTTGTTTGGGTATATACATATATAGGACACAGAATATAAATTTTTCATTGTTATATCAGATATTAAACCACTTGATAATTGGACTGATGCTAAAATCCGTTGGACTGATACTAATGCAGATACTAAAGTCCATTTGCACAGTGCAATTCTTCCTGAGATACTCTGCATGTTGAATTAGGAACTTGTGACTGAATTCCAGGTGAATTACATATAAATGCTCTTTTGAGGTTTTGCAAGAAGATGCCACCATTTACTCTAATATTTGCATTTAAGTCTTGAGTCTTTAATCAGATGCTTCAGTGTATTTACTTGTACTTGATATCCAAACCTTTGAAGTGTATCTTTAATTCCATTGCCTTCTGTGTGTTTAGAGTTAAGTTTGAATCTAGTCTTCATTCACTTGCTTTTTAATTGTGTAACTTTTTATTCAGCTGTGTTAAAAATATCTAATTGCTCTTCAAAACATAATATATCAATGAAATCTAGAAACAAAAGTTCATTTAAGTTAAATGTTGAAGTTCATATCCTGAGAGTAAACAGAGGATATTACCAAAGAATTAGTAGCCTTTTTTGTCTTTCATTTGGAAAATCTAATGAAAAGTAAATATGCTAGCAAGAGCTGATGAATACTGGCAAAGGGAGGCTAAAAGACTACTGAATGAAGGCACATAACTTCCTGTGCGTTCATGCCTTTCTGGATGTCCAGAGTAGGTATGTGAACAGGTATCTTAACTCCGACACTCCTCCTTGCAGCAGGAGTCTGAATGATGGATTTTTCTCTGTTTCTGATTGAGATCACAGCTTTCCAGTTGCTCAGAGAACTCCTGTCAAATACATGTGATCACCTTAGACTGAAACTGTTTCAAACATCACAAGCTTAGTAGAGCTGAGTAAGTGACTTCTGTTTGTGCTTTTGTTTTAGAGATCTCTTCTCTCACTGTTGCAGGAGGGGATTAATTTGTAAGGCAGCATTTTTTCTCTCTCTTTGACTAGTGAACTCCTAGGATTAAGTCACTTATAAAACCTTTTTTTGAAGACAGTGTGTGCCCTGGAAATATCACTATCATGGGAAAATACAATCCAAACAAAATACAGTGGCTAAGCCTGTAAACAGAATGTTTGATGCATAATAAATACACAGAGTAAGACCAGGTGGTATTCTTATAAATACAGCATGATAATGAGCTCATTACAAGGTTCTTCAGTTTTGATGTCAGCACTCTAAAGATACTGATAAAGGCTTATTTTGCTGGAGTTCAAATATGATCTGAATAGCAGTACAGATGTTTCAGAAACATCTCAGGTTTTTCACCATTCAGTTTTTAATTGTCTCACTAATCTTTACTCTTTTTAAAAGTTAAGCGTCTGGTATAGAGACTATTTAATGAATATGTCACTTCCCTTGATGCTGATCTTAGGATGGGACAAAAAAAATGTTCTTACCTTATATACTTCATTCCTTTGATCATAGAGGAAACCTAGATACATGTTTTGTCAAAAGTCAGATTTAATGAAATCCATTGTCTTTCTAGACAATTTATCAAAGAAAAAGTCACTAATTGTTTGCATGATGAATTTTCAGAAAGTAGCAGTTTTAAATCTCATTTATGTGCATGTAGTGAAGTCAGGTGGTTGGAAGTTGAAGCTAGATGTATTTAAACTGGAATGTTAAACACGACTGTTGAAAATCTCAGTTAAACTAGAGATAAGTTTGTTCCATTGCCATTCATTATTTCTGTAGTAAGCTCAACTGCCTGAAATCTGTAGTAGTTTACCTAAATGAGAAGTAGGGACTTGATGGAAAGACCACATATAATAATCTATTACTTTTTTTTTTTTTTTTGATGGAATGTTGTATAGTTACTTCTGGCCTTAAGGATCTATAAACTGATTTGTAAGACAAATTTTCTTTTAGACAACAAGAATTGCAGACAAATTTTCACAGTGACATAGCCTACATCCAAATTCTGACACTTCACAGTGCTTGCATTCCTTATATCCTCTACTAAACCTTTTTGGGAGATTATTATCTACAAAAGGTGTCTGTGTTCCGTTCTATAGATACATTTTATTATTAGAAATTGATCCTTTTTTTTTTTTTTTAACAAAAACGGGTAGTCCATGAGATTGAATAGTGATTTCCATTAATATTGAAGCTCCTTTAATATGAGACATATAAAAAGACAATACAAGTGTTATATGCAGCATTATAATGACCCAAGTGGTGAGGAGAAGATTGGCTACACTTGGTCTGAGTTTTGTGGCTTTTTATATTTATTATATGATTAAGCAGTTTGAATGTTTCTTCTAGAGCATTAACAGGCCAGGGATTTGGCCACAATCTCCTTTAATCTACCGGCATAGATACAGCCTTTCAAAGTCTGGCCAGCTCCAGAAATTTGCCGGTGATCTCTCCAGGTAAATCAAGTGCAGAGACCAACTAAAAAGTGATTATTGTAGACCACTTTAAAAACACTTTTCAATTAAATTATGGGTGAATATGAAATGGTGCTAATCATATAATCTGTGACATGAAAGTAAAAAACTAAATCTGTTTACTTGGAACATACTTCAAATCTCTTCCTAAAGATATCTGTCATGAAATTTGTTTTAAAAAAGTTTAGAGAAGGGTTAAGCTGTTGATTTCACTGCTTGTAATTAGGAAGAGTTATTTCCTAAGTGTTTCCCTAGATGTCTTGGAACTTCTAACTGTGTTGAGGAGGAGAGGAGCGAAGAGAAAAGGACAGGAGGGAAGGGGCTAAGATGTTTGGCCTTTAACACAGAAATATTTCTGTTCTTCTCAACTCTGCTGAAAAGATTCAGTGTTACTGAATTTCAGTAACTGTAATTTCATTACAGTTTAATTCATTACTCTCATTGAGACCATCTAAATGAAAATCCTAAATCAAACCATGATGATCCTTCTAATAGAAATATGACTTTAAGAATTTTGTTTCTCTTTCTCATAACAGTATTACCCTTTTATCCTTTGTATATTTATCTGTATTGCTTTATAGTATTCTTTAAGGAACAGTCATTGTTGTTTAGTTATTATTGTTTAAAACGGAAACCAAAACTAGCTGGTCCTAAGTGGAGTTCCACATAACATCTACAAAATTTTCTTTTGCAGAGGTGGAAAATCTGCAACGTACACTGTTTGGAGCTCATGTGACCAAATTACAGAGAGTGGCATCTAAGCTAGTCACCTCAAGATCCTTTTATAGCCAGTGGAAAGAGGCACTTAAAGAGATTATGCTGAACAACTCGGCCCTAAAATTGCTCCTTTCGTCTGTCAGTACAAAAGTAGGATTACTAGTTCATCTACAGGTAGATTTCTAATTTAGATAATGCATATAACTTAAATGCAGGTGAGATCAATCACATTCTCTGTAATAAGATGACTGAAAACCTCCCATTTGGGCTAAGAAGATCCTATCTAGGTTTCTGCTTGGCTTGTATAATTTTTCATTAACCAACACTGAACACTGATTGAGTAAACAGGGAGGCAGCCACAGCCTTTGAATTCTTAAAGTTATGTATCCTTATAAGATCAGCATAAGGTTCTGCTCTTCCAGACTTCTGAGGTTGAGTCTTCATGCCCTGTAATACATGCTATGAATTCATTTTTCTGTTACAGAATAGGTTTCCATTGACCTTCCCATCTCCTAATGTGTGAACCTGACATACAATCCAGTCTGTTTCCACTTCCAACACCTACTAATCTAGCTGCTGTCCTTCATGCTTTTTAGAGACAAAACAAGCAAACAAAATGATCAGACTCATGCCAATTTTGCTGGTTATTCTAGTAGAATTAAAAAAGTGTTTAATTATAAACATCTGATATATTTTTTAAAGTTTTTTTGTAGCAAATCCATTTATTAATAAAGTTTCTAATGTACAAAAAATTAATTCGTAAATAATGTTTCCATTGGTTTTGAATAAGAGTCAAAGATATTAAAGGTAACCATATAAATAATCAGGATATAATAACAGTAATCATCATCATCATCTGTTTTCCTGCTTACGTTCTGAATAATTGGTTGGAATAGAAATATTTGGGGTTTTTACATGAAAATAAATCTGTGATATAGGCTCTGTGACCTCACTTTAGGAAAAAGTGTGAGAGAGGATTTTTCATTCTCTAAAGATATATAAGCCCTCAAAAATACTTTAGCTTTGTATTTTATATTTTATTGAGAATCACTTGAAGTTAATTGAAAACATTGAAACAAATAGTAAGAATTCATGTCATCTTTTTAATGTCTGGGCCTTACAATTATTTAAGTACCTGAGTAAAGTTATAGGTTATAAGATGTTGCCCTTTGAATTTGAGTATTCTGGCTTTACATTTTTATCATTACTGCTAAACAATTTCTTATAAACACATCATATGATTATTAAATAGTTCTGATTTCATAAAGATGAGAATTCCACCTTTTGTGTGAAGTGCTCATTTGGTATTTAAATTTACTTTGAATTTTCAGAAGCCATTCACATATAGAATTAATTTTTGTTTGCCATTAACATAAAGAGTTGTTTTTAGGCTCTGTATCACAGCACTAAGAAGACAAGGCTTACTGTGACCTTAGAGCTGTCATCAACAGCAAAACAAGGTTTTTTCCTGAACTTGCTTGTGCATGCAGACACAGAAGGCTGTGTGATTGCTATTGAAACATGTCTGTGGCTCCCTGACATGCTCAGAGCACCGTAAGTCCAAGAACTGTATATATTTTCTCTCCTGGGAAGATTACAATATACAGTAAGCCTTAGATACCTCAAGGAAATTTGTAGAGGCAAATCACAGAGCAGCAGACGAAGGCGACAAGGATGTTTTCTAAAACAGCACACAAGCTAAAGCTGTAATATACACTCATCCATAGAAAAAATGTCCCACTTCTGAAACCCCTCAGCTGTTAACAGAGAGTGGGGGGTTGTGAGAGCATAGGAGGAAGTGTTTTTATTGATTTTATTCTTCCTTAGTTATCTACTTATAACCACGGTTGCAAATGGGATGCAA